CGTCGCGCCGCCGTCGCGTCGTCGTCGGTCGGTCGGTCGGCCGTCCGTCCGTCCGTCGCCGTCCGTCGCCGTCCGTCGTCGTACGTTACGTTTCGTTCGTCGCGCGCGCGCGTCGTCGCGCGCGTCTCTCTCCTCCTCCTCTCTCTCTCCTCCTCTCTCTCTCTCTCCTCCTCTCTCTCTCCCTCTCTCTCTCGTGTTCGTGTCGAGCGGGCCGCGCCGTTGAAGCTTCCGCTGAGCGCATGGGGGGGCAATTCGACCCTCCTGCTTGTCGCACTGATCTGACCTCTCTCTCGCTGCCTGCACATGGTTGCCCAGCGCTGGACCACCTGCATCCTCGGATGCGGATAGTCTTCAAGCAAGCCGTACGTAGACGAGCGTGGGCGCAGCTCGACGTGGATCGAATGCCAGGCCAATCCATGTCTTTGCCCGGGCCTGCGCTGTGCACAGACAGACAAAGAGAGCAGGACGTATGGCTGGAGCGGGCCGTGGGGCTATGTATGGGCGAGCCTCCCTTGGGTTGCCTCTGGCCCTGCCTGCCACTCAACCCGTCGCGTCTGGGGCGCCTGCCAGCAGGCCATCGTGGCTTGCACTCGAAGCGGTGCCAGTTGTCAACCCAGCCTGTCGGGCAGAGGCTAGACTTTTTGCCCGATCGATTCGGGAGACGGGCAACAGCGCCTTGTGGAGCGGGACGGCGCACAGAGAGCTGGTTGGCACGGCCTGCGACTCGGCGAGGCTGAAGGCAGAGCGAACCGGCAGGCAGGCAGGCAAGGCAGGCAAGGCAGGCAAGGCAGGCCACTCCAAGGCTCGGGTTGCGGAAGTGCGTCCTGCCTGGCCTGGCGCGGGCCTGGCGAGGGCCTGGCACGCAGCCATCATCGGCGAGAAGGCGGCGCGCCCTGGCGAAATGAGCTCAAACAAAAGTCACACGGGCCCCCATCGTCGTCATCAACACCACCACCACCACCACCATCACCACTGCCACTTCCACCACCGCCAACTCGTCGCGCAGATCATCGCCGACAGAGTCCCCACGTAGCTGCTTGCTTCAGCTGCGGCGCATAGTCCCACTCGACGACCGCGTCCACGCCCTCCGACGACGCCGCTTCACACCTCATCGCATCTCCGCCTCCAATCCCAGCACGCCTCTCTCACCCGAACCGACGCTAGCCATCGCCGACAAGCCACGCGCCTAACGCGCATCACGCTCGCCCGCGATGGCTGACCAACAGCCGCCCGCGGACGGCGACGGCGCTCAGACTGCCCAGGCGCTGCCAGACGCCACCTCCAACGCAGCCGCCAGCATGCCAGCCACCCCCGTGCTGCAACAGGCCGAGTCCGCACCTTCGGCCGACGCCACCCACCAGAAACAGCAGACCACAGCCGAGCCTTCCGAGCCTGCTTCTGGCACCTCTGCACCCTTGCAGCTCTCGCTTCCGCCGACCATCCCCATCGACCAGCTCGCTCTCGCCCTGCTCAAGTCGAGCGACCCTCCTCCCTTCGAGGCCATCCCAGAGACCCGCATCCTCGCGCCCGACCAAGACCTCCTCATCTACGTCTACTCGCTCGTACTCCAGATTCCCGCCCTCCGCGACACCGCCGCATCGCTCCAGCGCGACCTCGCCGACACCAAATCACGAGAGGCGCTCCTCGCCGAGTCCGTCTCGGTGGCTGCAAAGAGGAACGACGAGCTCGAGCACGCGGCGGCACAGCAGAGCCAGGCCCTGCTCGAGGTGTCCAGGGAGAGGGATAGCCTCTCTGCCGAGGTCGTCAGCCTCCAGAACCAGCTCGGCGCCGGACAGGTCGCCCTCGAAAACGAGAAGCGCGAGACGGCCGCCGCTAAAGACGACCGCGCCCGCCTCGAGTCAGAGCTCGCCGCCGCCAACACCCAGATCGCCGCCTCCCGCAACGAGGTCGAGAGCGAGCGAAAGGCAAAGGAGCTCATCGCCAGCGAAAAGGACAGGCTCTCGGCCGAGCTCACCGGCGTCAGCGCACAGCTCTCGACGCTCCGCAGCGCCTCGGAGAGCGGCGTGCGCCACGCGGCCGAGGTGCGCGGCCGCCTGGAGCAGGTCGAGCAGGAGAAGCGAGACATCCTCGGCAGCCTCCAGCGCGAGCGCGAGGAGTCGACCCGCAAGGCAGAAGAGATCGACGCGCTGCTCAAGCGCAACCGCGACGCCAGGCAGGAGGTGTCGAAGCTCAGCAGCGAGCTGCAAGAGTGCCGCAGCCTGGAGAACGCAGCAAAGGTACGCAGAGGCAGCCGTTGCCCATGCTCATCGAGCGACCCCCAATGAGGAGGGCAGAGCGACGCTCACATCAGCTGACTCGACCCGCCCACACTCTCCTGGCCGTCGTCTTCCCGCTCCCCTTCCGCCTCACAGTACAAGCTGCAGGGCCTCGAGCAGGAGCTGCGCCTCACTAAAAAGGACGCCGAGTGGGCCAATGAAGAGCTGATCAAGTCCAACGCCGCCAGCGCCACATTCCGCTCCGCCAAGCGCCTCGAGATCTCGAACCTGCAGGCCGACCTCGACGCGGCCCGGCAAGAGCTGACTGCCAGCCGCAACAGGGCCGCCGCGCTTCAGACGGCCCACGACGAGGCCAACGCGCGGCTCGGCCAGACGGCCGCCAAGGTGGCCGAGCTGCAGGGCCGTCTAGCGTCGCAGGAGAGCTCGTTCCGCTCCGAGATGAGCACACAGACCCAGCTCGCCGAGCTATGGCAGAAGCGTGCCGACCACGCCACGGCACGCATCGAGGAGCTCGAGGAGCAGTGGGAGGGCGTGCTGCAGCAGTGCCGGCTGCGCGAAGAGGAGGCGTGGAACGAGACCGAGGCGGAGCGGGCCGCACGGCATGAGCTCGAGGCCGAAAAGGAAGAGCTCTCGCTCGCCCTCGACCGCCTCGCCGACGGCGTCGGCATCGGAAAGGCCGGCGTCGACGTCGAGGGCGATGTCGACGACGATGCCGAGGGCGACGAGCTTGACGCGATGAGCGAGCTCGACGGCAGCGGCGGCGGCAGCCTGTTCAACGACGACATCCGCAGCCGCACCTCGACGCCGGCCAGCCGACGTCTCGGCAGGTCGATCAACGGCCACGGCAACCGGGCCCCGCTCATCCTCGATCTGTCGAGCACGGCCGCGTTCGCCAGCAAGGCGCGGAAGAGCGGCAAGACGTTCAGCCAGGTCTACGTCGAGCTCGCCAAGACGCAGGAGGAGCTGCGACGAGAGAGGCTCGAGTGCACGCGGCTCAACGGCGTGCTGTCGCAGATGCTCGGAGAGATGGACGAGCAGGCACCCCAGCTGCGGGCGCAGCGCGAGGAGACCGAGCGACTCGAGAGGGATCTCGAGGAGATGCTCAAGCAGGTGGCCGCTTCGTCCGAGGAGCGCGACGAGTTCCGCTCGCAGGCCGAACGCCACAAGCTCGAGGCAGAGAGACTGGAGCGCGAGAACGGCCTCCTCTCGCAGCAGCTCGGCGACTTCGGCAGGCAGGTGCGCGAGTTGATAAAGGAAATCATCGTCCGCGACGATCCCTCGGCCGCCGCGAGGCTCGAAGACGACGGCACGTTGCTGTCCGAGCTCGAGGACGCTGCGCCGATCCCAGAGCACGATGGCGTTGAGTCCGACACCCAGGCCGTCATCACAGCCCAGCTCGTGACGTTCCGCTCGCTCTCGGAGCTCTGCGCGCAGAACGCCCGCCTGCTGCAGGTGACGCGCCAGCTGGGCGCCAAGATGGAGGAGCAGGAGAGGGAGTCCCAGGCCAAGCTCGCCGAGGATGAGAACCAGGCGGTCGGGGCGGCGCGAGACCTCATCGTGCGCCTCGAGGAAGAGGTGCGCTCGGAGAGGTACAGGAACGAGGAGGTGACGAAGGAGCGCGACATGTTCCGCCACCTGCTGGCCACCGGCGGCCGCAACGGCTTCATCGGAGGCACCGCCGGCGGAGATCAAGGCGACCACGACGGCACCGCCGCCGCCGCCGGCGGTGCGCAACCGCACGTCGGGACCTCGTCGACCGAGTACGAGGCGCTCCGCAATCGCTACGAGTCGCTCAAGGGCGAGCACGAGGCCGAGGCTCGGAGGCACCGCGACGAGGCGCAGACCTTGCGGACCGAGATCGGCGATGCCACCGTCGCCGCGGCTCGGGAAAACGCGGCGCGCGAGGCGGTCAAGGAGCGGTACGCGACGCTGCAGCG